CAAAGACAGGCAAGGGAATACAGCTGGCAATCTACTTCCGAAAATTGCCAGTGAAATCCTTGTAGGTGAAAGACCAGTGCCTGAGACTTTGACTCACTTTGGCCTTCACATCAGGAGAGAATGCTCCGGAGAAGGAGCTCTTGACTAATATCTTTACTCTGGAACTCCATAATATATTTGTCATTGTGTTTCGTGGTACACTCTAGCAGCTGCTGACTCATCTGAACGCTAACATTTGCTAGCACCTCTACTGTGTGATTCCTCAGGCTTTACAGAAGCGTCCCAAACACCATACTTCTTAGAGTCTTTGCATCTCACACACAGAGGATTGCGGATTCATCCTCAGAAAAGAGGACGAGGGAGTGTGATTTCTGAATAAGCATAGAGAAGTTCATCTGCCCGTAACAAATGCCAGCTGCAGGTGCCTGAGAAGAATGACTTCAGAGTGAAGGGAGCACTTCGGCTGGTGACAAATGGAAGTCAGCCGCTGGGCATGATGGGGGAAGCAGCACCATCAACAGTGCTTTCCACGTCCGTGCTTCGGAGGTCCCTCCACAAGGCCCACACTTGGCCAGGTACAGGCCTGTAGTCGGGCTGAGAAACAAGAGGGAAGAAAGCGAGCAAAGGTCTGCTTCTCCTCTTCTTATCTAATTGGTCCCCGGAGGAGTCACGTTTGCCAATTTTCCTCTGTTGGTTGGCTTTTCCTTAGGGCTGACCTGCAGCATGACTAACTTTATAAAAAAAGGCAATGTTGAGATAACTATGCATTTTAAAAATGAAAATATTCTTCTTTGGGGGAAAACACTAACATTTAAAAACTTCACCCTATGAGTTACATGGCATTTTTATTTTTTTTAATCAGAGAGGTTGTTTTATTCTTAGGTCAAACTCATTAACATAGTTCACAAAATAACAAATTAAAATACTGTTTTTACAAAATCTCTGGGTGCCATCAGAGACCAACAGGATGGGTTAGACAAATAATCATAGCAGTTATTTAATTACTTTCCTTAAAATAACATACATATAAATTTAAATGTGTTCAATAGAATTTAACTGTGTACATATCTACGCTTGTGTAAGAGTACACCTACCTACATACACATACATACACACACATATTTTTCTCAGTGTGTAAAAAGTTTTATCCTTAGAACTCTTGCTCTGAAAACAGTTTTTATAGCTGGGTAATAAAAGAATTATCACTGCATCTTAATTGCATTTTAAATCAATTTCTGACAGAAGACATTGGTAGAATTCTTCAATTCCATCATCACTAGCTTGCTTGGTTGATGCATAAATTTGAATAATAGTCGTATTGATTGAAGGCTGATAAATGTCCTATCACAGACAGCATTGTACTTCAAGATAGATCTTGAAATGTCCTTTTTGACAATGAATGCAATATCATTCTTCTAAATTGTCATTCCCAACATAGTAAACATATCATTTTCTGATTCAAAATGAACAATACCAGTCCATTTGAGTTCACTAACATCTAAGTTATTGATCTTTATCATTCTATTTCTGTTTTGATGACTTCTAATTTTCCTACATTCATACTTCATACATTCCAAGTTTCAATTATTAGTAGATTTGGGGAGCGGTTGCTTCACATTTTGAGTTGTGTCCTATCAGCAAATGAAGATTCCAATGTCTCCATTCCCACAGACTTACTACTTAGATACCACTATGATCAGCTCTACTTTGAGAAAGCACCTCTTCTTCCATCACAGTTCAAGCGTCTTCTGACTCCCGAGGCCCTGACTCTGTCACTATCTCTGACAACGTTCTACTTCTTTTCAGTACGCCTTCAGTATCAGACAAGGTTTCTAAGATATGCTTCAGGTTTCCTGTGGCTCCTTCCTCCAAATAGGAAACCAAGCCCTTCTTTGTTGCCTGTTCTTAGTCTAGAAGCTCCAATGAACGCTGTTCACTTTGGACAACCCTGCTGGGATTTGAAATACCAACGAGAAAGCTTCTAGCATCCCAGCAGCACACAAGCCACCACAGTACAAGTCCAGTACTTGCAACTTAGTGACATTCCTGCCCCTTATAAGGACAATGCCTCAACTCAGCTTGAAACAGCCATAGGTTAGCACCGCCCATTTTCCTTCTATAAAAGGCCAGGGTGACAGATAAAACACTGTTGTGCTCATGAATGCAGAACAAGCCAGTCTCACCGGACCACTACCCAGAGTAACCCAATAGAAGCAAATGCAAAACATTCCCCTCTTGCGACACCAAAAGCTCCTATGGCATTAGCTTCTGCAGGATGCCCTCTCTGTCCCCTACCCCTTTAAAGCCCAGCCACCCTCACTGTGGGAGCACTGACGCGTTTTGTGCGCCTCCTACACACAAGGTCTTAATAAAGTCTTTGACTTGAAGTAAGCTCTATGTTTTAAGGTCTCACACAACAAATCCCCTCTCAACATTCTTATAAAACTGACTGACTACAATGAATAGTTACACAAAGTTCAATGTTTCCATGACCTTTAAGAGATAATGCCTTATGTATTTATTAAATTTACAAATTTTTCCCATTTTTTTTCTTTTGAAAATAACTTGAGATTCATTTAGTGGAGGTAGAATCTACTTACAATTTATTACGAAATTGTTATTTTCACCGGTTGTCCTTAAATATAGTATTGAGTGTATCAGGTATAATCATCATAGATATTAAGGGTAAAATTGAAGATATGATTAATCCCATCTTACTTGGCTCCATTTATACTCGTATTTATAAAAATGCCATCTGATCCCTAAATTTTTCTTTAGTTTTCTTAAAACGAATGTGCAAGTGAAGAGGCCACACGTATCCAGTAACTTCTGAACTGACACGGAGAGCTTAACACAAAAACAGGAGAGGCAGGGCTCTGAGCAGAAGCCTTCTTTGCTGGGATCACAAGGACCTTTGGTGAGAAGTAAGAGCCTCCAGTATGTATTACAACTAAATATAAAGGAAACAAAAATCCCCCAAACTGTGCCAATAGGTAACAACATGATAAGTGGAGAAAAGATAGAAGTTGTCAAGGATTTCAGTTTGCTGGGAGCCAAAATCAATACTCATGGAAGCAGGAGTCAAGAAATTAAAGAGGGCACTGCATTGGGTAAATCTACTGCACAAGACTGCTTTAAAATGTTGAAGAGCAAGGATGATACTTTGAGGACTAAAGTGTACCTGACCCAAACAATGGTATTTTAAATAACCTCATACGCATGTGAAAGTTGGACATTGAATAAGGAAGAACAAAGAGGAATCGATGTATTTAAATTATGGTACTGGTGAAGAATATTGAAATTACCAGGATCTGCCAAAAGAACAAATAAGTTTATCTTGGAAAAAGTACAGACAGAATCCTTATGTACTTTGGACTTTTAGTAGTTATATAATCTTGTGTCACCTTGAGACTATTTAGAGTGAAAGGGTGGAGTTTAGCCTGTCAATTAGGTTGCAGCTTGATGACCTCATTTGGAGGCGCTACAGAGATAAATAGTTCACTGGAGGCCAGACACACACAGGCTCTGCTTTGTCTCCTGGGAGACATTTCTGTTGACAAGCCACATGGAGACACACTGTTGGAGCCTGAGCCCTGAAGATGGAGGAGCCACGTGGAGACCCTCACCAGTGCTGAGATCCTTCCACCACCACTGGATCTATAAGACTTTCCACCCACTTGCCTGTGATCTTCCTGCATTCAGCATTATTGCATGGCTGCATGAGTCTAAAGAGGAATTTATGGACTAGTATGGGACATATGGTCTAATACTGGACTTATGGAATTGATCTGGACTGGGTTGGGATGTTTCTCAATATACAATTTCTCTTTTATATAAAGGTCTTTCTGATACACATATGAGTGTCCATGAATTTGTTTCTCTAGTCTACCCAGACTAAAACAGACATGTTGTCATGAGAGATCTGTCCTTGGAAAATGACACCATGCTAGTAAAGTAGAAGGCTATCAAAAATTAAGAAGACCTTCCGAGAGATAGATTGCCACAGTGGCTACAATAGGCTCAAACGTAAAGAGAATTGTGAGGATGAATCAGGACCAGGCAGGGTTTCATTCTTTTGTACATAGAGTCACTATAACTTGAACCTGACCCATGGGCACCTAACAACAACAAACAGGTCTATTATGGAATAACATACTTACTGTGGCAACCCCATTGGCATTGAAACATGGTGATTATTAAAAGGCACAGGCTCGGGACTCAAGTGAACCTGGACTCAAATCTAACTGCTCTACATACTAATTATTTAACTAATGCTGTATCAACCCAGGATTGCCTGCCACTGGTCATTGAATTCAAAGGGAAATAAATATCGCCCTATCCCTTTAAAGCTGTTCTTGTTACAGAAAAGCTTATTACTAACTGATGTACTTTAGCTATTTTAATAAATATAATAATCATTTGGATAGTTTGCTACATATTTATTGTATTACCATACGATGGCAGTATAAACCTCTGACAGACATAACTTAATGAGTATTGATTAGCCTAATCACATATACAAGTAAATGTTGAGATTTGCTGGAGCCTGGGCAAACATACAATGTTTAGATGTTTGTAGAATTTCTCAATGTTTTATCCATTTGAAAATACAGCAAATGCACATACAGGACTTGAATTTTATAGGCCGCCTATGCTTTACCGCTGTCACTGAAATCACTCATGACAAGTGCAGTCAACAGAAGCTTGCTTGCCTGAGGCCGTGGAGGGCTTGGGCCCTTCACTCTTCAGACACCATTTGACATGGGCAGGAAAAGGTGCGGAGGCCAACCTTGACTTTAAGGTGATGTGCCTTTTTTCTTATGGAGAATACGAACATAGGTGCCGGGTAAAAATACTATCCTTCTCATTCACTGACACACTTAAAAGGGGTCTGTTCAAGGTGAAGTTTCAGAAAGTGCAATTTTACAAGGACTTGTTGAAGTGGGCAATTTTATCCTAGAATCTCAAGTTTCATTTGCTGATTTAACATCTGTAGCAGCTGGTTGAAGGAGTCTGTCCAGTCGTTGCTTCCTGAATCCCCCTTCTATGGCTTTTTGATGTTGTCATTGGATCCTGATAGCATCTCTTCCCAGGCCAGCCAGAATAATAGTGTTCACACTGAACATATTTAATTAATTCATCACTTCTCATATGAATTGATTTGAATGTGTTTATTATCTAATCTTTTCCTCCTGTATGCACACGCATTATCTGAATGAGTAGGTTTCAAAAAGATAGTGGGAAAAATTCCTTCTCTTTAATTTCTTTTTATCTGAAAACTTTTTGATGTCCCTTCATATTGTTCTTTAAATGCGTCTTCATTAAATGTTATTTGTTTCCCGCATGTCCACTCTGACTCATGTGGATCCCATTTGGGCAGAGGAGCATTTTCTTGGCTGCAAGCTTCATGGAAGCAGATTGGCAAGTACATGGTACCTCTTGGTTGATTTGTACTGCCAATCATTAGGTTAGTAGTAGAACACAAATTATTTATATTACCTAAGGAATTCATATCTAAATATAAGCTCCTAAATTTGTATCTAGCTGGACAAGCCCAGAGCAGAAAAGTACTAAGTAGAAGTATTTCCAATTTTAAATAGTCTAAATTGTTGAACATTTCCACAAGGGAAAGTCATTAAGACTCAGAATTTCACAGTTAAAAGTCTTGGCCCATGTCCTATTCTTAGATATTTGTTATCCAAACATAAGCATGTTTTGGTGGATTAATGTTTTGAAATATACTATGTTCAGGTATACTTTATTATTATATGTGCTGCCGAAGCACTCATGTATATTTAGGTATACTTTAAATAAATCATGGCAAACGGTTATGTAATAGGTTGTTCAAACTAGAGAGTACGTTGATTAATATTTTTTCTTGATTTTTAAAAATGGAATCATTCAAACCTTCTTTAAAATCACAGATAAAAGCTTGTTTGTTATATAATTTGTTTTGGAATTCACTTTATTTTTGGCCCCTTTTATCTCTCAAGAGGCATTAAGAAACTGAAGTGTAGAGTATGAGGGTCATCCAAAAATTCATGGAAAATGCACAGCATGAAAAACTATGCTTGGATTTCAACATATTGTATAGCATGTGAACTCATGTTGCATGTTACAACATATCTGAACAGGAATTAGTTTGAAGCACTGAGGGACAGGGTATTTATTAGTTTGCAAAGAGTCCCTACCATAGCAATATTTCTGATGAAATTGAAGCAATAATGAACATACTTTTGTGGTGACTTTTGAATGTGCGAATGATGAAATCATTGAAGCTTTATGAAAAGTTCCTGGGGATGATGCTCCGAAGATATCAGTGATTTAGAAATGAATAACTCATTTTAAGAAGGGACAAGACAAATTTGAAGATGAAACCAGAAGCAGCAGAGAGCCAGATA